GCGGGAAACACTTTTCTGCACGCGGGTTCTCCATAACAACAGAACACTCCGTCATGCAAAAGAGCTGCAATTCGGCAGGAACATAATTTAGCGGTGCCGAAGCGCACACAATCAAAAAATCCACAACTTTGGGTTGTGACAGTTGAATGGGCCATTACTTCACAGCCTGTAAGAAGGCGCTCAAGCCTAGCGGGCTGCCTAGGCTTCAGTCTCCACCTCCCAACGAAAGTCAGATTTCTCGGTGACTCCTTAATTTCTTGGGAGCCAGAAAGACAAAAGCAGTTCGATCAACCGTTACTGTTCTGGGTGGGAAACCCTGCTCGTTTGGAGGAACAGCCATGAGAGTCTCCATTGCAGTATGAGAAGTACCTTTCCCTCTACCTTCTTCCAACCCATGTGTTTGCTTCTGGTTTCACCCAAAAGTAACATGTCATCAGCCCCCAGCTACCCTCTGGATCTACTCCTTACCCCTCCGAAAGCCAGCCACATTGCTGCAAATCACCACCTCTCCAGTCCCTCCCAGTGGTTCTGAAACAGAAAAAGAACAAAACAACACAGAATTGGATGCTTATCTTTTTCCAGGAACCACCAGAGTACACTTGCCCTCTTCAGGAGACAAGGTCAACAGGCAGGACCCCTTTTCTGGTAGGAAAGCATGTATGGAAGGGTTGCTCCCAGCCTCCCTAAACAGCTCACATCTTCGGGACATGCTTATTCGTATGGAGAAAACATTGGCACGGAAAGACATCCTGTAAGATTAGCTGAAGCAGTGTGGATAATTACTAGTACAGGTCCAGACCATCAAGAAAGCTATGACAGATTTCCCATCCCCCACCACCTGGGGAAAAACAACTGGGAGCAGACAGGAGAGACTCCTGATGTCTTAAGGGGAGAACCACCCCTTAAGCAGTAAGCAAACATGGCCCCACAAACTGTTCCCTATGGCAGGTACAGCAGATGGGGTAGAAAGGACCTTTTACCTTTCCCTGTCCTGGAAGGCCTGAACAGAAGAACCTACCATCTCAGGAGCTGGAAGAGAAATCAGATCACTTGATGGCATGGGCAACTGGTGCCTCCTGATCCTGGGGGGCACCAAGTGGCCGATCGCCGGGGGGGGGTTGGAACCAGAAGTGTCCCCCATGCCTCTCCTGTGCATCACCTATGCTTGATGGGACATGGAGATATGCTAGAGACTCCATCACTTTATCTTACCATGTCAAGAGTTGTTGCTTGTTTCACTGCTGTCATTTCTGTCAACCTCTGCACCAAGTGGAGCTCCCACAGCACAAAGATCCCAAGGCCACAGCCTGAGTGGCAGTGGACATGGTGAGGCAGATCACTGGGAAGCTTATAGAGAGCCTCCAGATGGAAAGTGATATACTACACATTGTGGTAGTCACACTCACCAGGCAGAAAGACCACAAGAACTCTCAGTGTTGCTTCCTCTTAGCTACATCCTTTAGCTGAAACCTCAGTTATACCCTCCCCCAGTACCTAGGTCATCAGTATACTTTCAGCATAGTCAGGGGTACTAGCAGCACGTCAGTGCAGGGGCAGGCAATTATTTTGGATGGAGGGCCGCTTATTGAGTTTTGGCAAGCTGTTGAGGGGTGCATGGGTAGCCCCACCCTTTGATGAGGGCCCCGTCCCCTGGTTGCCATCTTGTGACTGAAGTCCCGCCCCCTGACCTTTGCCATCAGAAGTCCCTCCCCTTACCCCCAGAAGTACTCCTTTCAGCAAGGGATTTTGCCATCTCAGAACCAGAAAAATACTAAATATATTCTAAAAAGCAAACATCTAAATTTGATTTAAAAAAATATTTTTGTTCTGGTTTACATGCATTTGTGTAGCATACATAGAGGTGATTGTATATAATAGCTTAAAATGAAGTCTTACTTTTGTATATTGGGGGTATAGGTTTGTGGGTGTATCTGCAGAGGGTGGGTATGGGGTTTGTGGGGGCATATTGTCTTGGGGAGAGGGTGACTGGGGTGTGTGGGGGTCTGCGTGTATGGCAGTGCGAGAGGGGGTGTGGGTAAATGTGTATGGTGGGATGTGATTGTGGGACTTGCCCTATGAACGAACACACACACACACACACCCCCCCCCATACAGGCGTGGCCCCTTGCTCCCTGGTCCAGCGATTCAACCACCTGATGCTGAAGCAGTGCAGGGATGGGAAGGCAGGGAAATGGGGGTGCGAGGGTGGGGCAAGGCTAGGCTGCTCCATTCTGCTGCCAGCTCCCCCTGGGTCCTACCGCCCCCTGGCTTCTGTCATCTTTGACAAGCAGCCAGGAGCAGATAAATATTTTCCAAGATTTTTAGGGGCTCCGCAGGGCAGACAGAATGGCCTGGTGGGACGTATTTTGCCCCCCCATATCAGTGGAATATACCATGGCTAGATGTACCCCACTTGACCTGGACTTTGGCCTCACCAGATTCAAACTTATGCCCAGTCATCTTCATTGATGCACCATGGGGAGACCTACCTTCCTGAACTCTCAGTAACATAGCCTCATGGCCAAGACTACCAGCAACACAGCTCCTGAGAATTACTCCCCTATCCACGGACCATCCTCAACAGTACCATGGATTCCTCTCCTCTTCCTGACAGGCCCACACATCGCACTGCTTAAGAAACTCTTCCAGCCCCCCAGGGTTACAAGCAGCAGTATCATCCAGCCCCTACCCAGGAACATGCATGCTCCCCAGGTTTTGGGCCACATGCCCTACAGTCCTGTATTCCGTGCCCTGAGTTCTCATGCTCAGAACTTCCCACCACTACAGCCTTTGCAACTAGTCTAAGAGCATGGCTCCAGTTAGCAGGCACAGGCAGGACATGGCTTTACATAGCTATTTCGTATCGTCAACCTCCTTCCTGCTCTGGTTCCAAGGGCAACAGCCATTAACTTTAGTCCATCTCAAGATCCAAGGCTCTGACTGTGATGAAGAAGCAAGACAGCTGGGGCCTAGGGAGAAGGGACCCTTAAATAACCTTTCTGACCTCATCTTCCAGACCCAATCAGGGCAGATGTTGTTTGAGGCCAACCAACCAGTTTGAAAAGCATCACTGGTCACCTACAGGAGTGACATGGCTCAAGTCCCTGCCCCTATGCCATGAGGTCAGTGCTTAAAACAATAGAGGGGTTGAGTTCCCACCCTCTTACCTGTCCTTAGGCACATAAGCAGCATCAGTTGTTTAGCAACTGGAGTGATAGACACATGAGCGAGAGAGAGAGCGGGGAAACAGACTACACCCAGGGAGAGGAGGCATCTGGAACAGGATTCTTCCACACCAGCCCCTTCAAGCCAGTGAATGAACATGGAGGCATACTCCCATCCCACTCCATGCCAAAAGAACTGCTCCCCCCCACCCCGACCTTAGGCACCCTTTCACTGGGCCCTAGTCCTAACCAGCTACAATTTAGCCATGTGTCATCACCTCCCCTTCCCAAGCCCATGGTGATCCAGCACTCCCAGTACTCCCCATGCCCAGTGTTTTTTCAGAGTTCAGTAAAGTACAGAGGGCTGTGTCTATTTGGACTGCTTAATAAAAGTTTGTTGGTCTGCAAGGAAATCACATGTGGGGGTCTTGCTCGCCCTATACTCAGTTGCAACCCTCTCCTACGCCATGCAGAGTTGCTGCGCACGAGTAAAAGTTTGGCCTCACACAAACTTTTTCAGGCCATGCACCTGCTGGGAATGGAGCTGGGCTGAGGTGTGGGACACTCAGTAAAGGTAAGCTCCGCCCCTAGGCAGAGGTGGGGGCTGGCATGGGCTCTGCCAGGTCTGGGGAACTGCTCCACTCCCCCACATTGCCCAGGGTAGTGAGGATGCATATGGAGTCAGGGCCGGGGAGTGTAGCACTTCCCGGAGCTGGCAGAGCAGTTCCCCAGAGCTGGAGGAGCCTCACTTGGGGCAGACAGCGGCTCCTCCCCGAGGTGAGGCAAAGCAGGGATGGGGGCTGGTGCGGGCTGGCCCCGGGGAACTGCTCCGCGGGCTCCGGGAAGTGCTCCACTCCCCAGCCCTGATGCCACGTGCCTCCTCACTCCCTGAGGCAATGCAGGGGAGCAGAGCAGTTTCCGGGAGCCCGCACCAGCCTCCAGCGGAGCCTCACTCGGGGCAGGCAGGCCCAGGCCCCCGCCCCCCAGCCTCCTGCCCCCAAGGCCCCACTGCCTGCCCCAGGTGAAGAGTGAGAAGCTTACTTTTTGTAAGTGTCCCATGCTGCACCAAAACAGGGAGGCAGGACTGAAGCGGTGCGCTCACGGACCACTACTCTGTACAGGGAACATTGACTCCATGTCCCAGTACCACTGGAAGTGATTTGCTAGGATCTCTGTAATGAGAACAGCCTCCAGCTGTTGGGTCCAGTATTTATCCCACTCCACTGTTGTATAGCAGCTCCCAAGACATCACACTTCCTTAGCCCAATCCTCCAGAAAGTCTTCCCCCTTGCAGAAGTTGTATAGGATACAGACTGAGACAACCATCTGGGGCAGGAACACTCAGTGACATCCAGGCACAGCCTCATTCAGTGCACCTTGAGGATTTGCCTGCATGGGATTTACCAACTACAGTGAGGCCATCAATGGCACCTACACCACCATCCTCTGCCCTGCCTATCATAGCTTGGAATGCATCATGAACGACTAGTGCAATCCAGGCGACACATGCCCCCTTTACATGTTGCCTATGGAATGTATCAAATGCAAATGTTCTTTTCCATAATGCTGTAGGGCATTGTGGACCACAGGGAATTGTTTACACATCACCAGCAGCTGGTGAGACATCTGTGACAGAAGCTGGCAACTGTTGATCCTTCTGGATCACAGTGTATGCGTGAAAGGTCACCCAGACCTTTGACACATCCACTGAGGCAGGAGTATGGGAGTAGAGGTTGCCCAGACCTTCCATCCCCCTATTCAGCCCCTGAGACCGAACCCAAAGGCCAGATTGAGTCCAGACATTTGGTGCCTCGAGGGCTGTAGTTGCATAAGCGCCCAGGAATTGAACCCAGGTCTCCTGTGGTTCTACCACTGAACCACAGGGGACTCCATATTTTGGCAACCCTCACTATAAAGAATTTTATCCTGATGTCCAATCTGAATTTGCACTCTTCCAGTTTGTGGAATAAATATGGAATAAGCTTCCAAGGGAGGTGGTGCTGTCCCCTTCCTTGGAGATGTTTAAAAGGAGAATGGACAGACACCCAGCTGGAGTCATCTAACCCCAGCACTCATTCCTGCCCAGGGCAGGGAGTCAGACTTGATTATCTAATGGGTCCCTTCCAACCCTAAAATCTATGAAACTGTAGTTTGATGTACACTTGGCTTCCCACTTTATTTCTCCCCTTACACTTAAGTTTGCAAAAACCTCCCACAATATACAAGAGTAAGACTTCATTGTGAGCTAGTATGCAATCACCTCTATAGATACACAATGCAAACACACAAATCAGGACATTTAAAAAAATTAGTAACATTAAAGTATGTTATTGTAGATGTTTGATTTATAGTGCATCATCTGGTGGGTTTTTTTCTGGTTCCAAAATGGCAACCCCCTTCCCAAAAGGGGTACTTCCAGAGGCAAGGGGAGGGACTTACAGTGGCAAATGTCAGGGGTTAGGGGGTGGGTTCTAGTCCCAAGATGGCAACCAGGGGGCGGGGTGCTTACAAAGAGGCAAGGACACAGTTGCAGCCCTTGACAGTTCACCAAAACTCATTAAAGCAACCCTCCGGCCGAAATAATTTCCCGTCCCTGCTCTAACATAATGAGAAAGCAACTATCAGCTGCAAGGATTTAGATGAGGATATTGTTGTACTACTGCTTTTTGGGCATGAGAAATTGTAGACTATTATGATGTTTATGGTGAGGGGTGCATTTCTAAAAGGCTTTTCTGTTTGGTTTACCTTGATAGTTGTTTGATACGCAACATAACTGTATGGCTGATGCTTGCCTTCAGAAAGTTTCACTTAGGGAAAATGGACAGTGATTTCCTTTTAGCTCAACTAAAAAAAGATAAAAACAACAAGTAAAAAAACCTGCAGACTTTTTTTTTTATTATTAAATTCTCCCATTTCATCTGTACAGAAAAAATGCACATTATGTTCAGAATCTCAGTAACATCTCAAAATTACACAGCATGAACATGTAAAAACAAGAAACGGCCAGGATTTTATACACACAAAGGAAAAACAAACAATTTGCAAAAAAGAATTGTTAATATTATGTTTAAAAAATGAAATTCAAACAGATTCTGCTGTACAGTATGATTTCCTGCTTGGGTCTGTTTTGTGCATTGTAGCTAGGGAGGCTTGCAACATTACTACTGAAAGTTATTCAGATCCTTCCCTGTGCAAACACATGCATCCCCACTTCATACAAACAAACTTCTCCACCTCTTCAGTGTTCTTTGTAGTCTGACATACAGAACATTAGTCAAATGATTCCTGATTGCATCTGTTAAGTACAAGTTTCAAAGAATAACCTTATGGGAAAAGTTTACACCTCTTTGTCTTTTCCATCCTAATACTTTCCCAACTAACAGCTGTCTAAGCACTTTTGTTCTCTGAATGCAGCAGGTATGTATAACTGGGACTCTTCAGTTTAAGTGATCCTATCTGAGAACACAGATCTTTTGCTTTCAAACTACTGAAAAAAAAATCAAACTAGGAAGAGGTTTGGTTTGGAAAGTAGTAGTAGTACAGGCTGCTTTTATCCAGAACAGGCAACAAGACACTGCTCCCCAATCTTGCAGATAGATTCTCTAAGTAACATACATCACATCCAGTAGGCAGAACTCTGAAGCCTAACAGTATAGGACAAAAGCAACTATACTCGTTTTAGACCTTGGGTGGGGGAAGACCAGCATTAACCAGTACAGCCAAATGAGCCTCCACTGAATTAGGTCCCATTTAGTTGATTATAGTAGCAGTGGCCCATCACTGGGGTAAAGAACTGAGCTTGTTTCCAGCCTCAGAAAATGGAAGCACCAGTACAAAAACGTGTTTGGGAGCTGCTCTTAAAGACGACAAAGGCCAAATTGTAAAAATACACTGAGGCTTAATCCAATCACTGAAATAGCTTACTAATGCATGGAAATACTTAATAGGGGAAATGCCCGCTCAACTGAAAATTAACTTAAAAACTGGAAAGCCAGCACTACAATCTGTTTTTGGAACTGAAGCAGAGGTGTCAAGCAGATGATCCAGCCTGCAGAGCCACTGTACTTGGCCCACCAATTGGCCACCAGAAGTTGGAGGGCATGACTGGGGGAGGGCTTGACACAATTTGGGGCCCTTGGGCCACAGTGGACATGACACTTAGTGGCAGGAGGATAAGTAGTGGCTGACAGCCCTGGCTACCCTCTGGCCACTTTGCCCATAGCCACTGTTGTAGCCTCAGTTTCACAGCCACTAGCTCCATTGCAGTCTCCACCCCATGCCAGACTCAAAGCTGTTGCTGCCATGTTCTCCCTTCTGGAGCAGGAGCTGCCACCCTGGCATGAAATGCATGGTGGCAGAAGCAGTTTCAGGTCTAGCATGGGGCACACAGCATGCACTGTCACCACTGCTGCTGCATGCACTGGGCAGGAGCTGCAGCTGCTACCTTCAAAGCCCTCCGTGCCCCAAGCTGGATCCAGCCCAGGACTGGAGGTATGTTTGAAACCCCTAAACTACAGTACCAAGTTAGGAGTTAACAGAGAAATCACCATCTAACTGAAGCAAGTTCACTTGAATGTGATAACA